ATGACAGAACATAAGCTCAATACAAAGAAATACTGTAAAGAAAGTTACTGTTACAGTCTGTGACCCATAGAAATAATTTAGAATAATAGAATAATTTCTATGCTGTGACCATAAGAAAAAATTCTATACCGTTGAGTTGCACGCCCTGGATAAAATATTGGCGGAAAATTTAAAAAGAACACAAAAAAATAAAATAAGTAAAAATACGTAAAAATAGATAATAAATATGTGAAAATAAACTGACAAATTAAAAAATATGTAACAAAAGTATAAAAAGGTAGTTTAAAGCAAAAACCTCCAAAAAAGGTAAAAAAGGTGAAAACTAGTTAAAAAAATAGGTAAGAAAAGTATAAAAAAGGTAGTTTAAAGCAAAAACCTCCAAAAAAGGTAAAAAAGGTGAAAACAAGTTAGCTTCATATAAAAGAAAATCTTTTAAAACACATTTTGGCATTATTGGTTTTCAAATAGTTACATCGGTTGAAAAAAGGTAAAATCACTAAAATCCCATCCCTAGTAATTATATACTTATAATATGGACATCAAAGTTTACAAACGTGGAATGAGTCTAAAAACTCATTTAAAGAGTAATAGGTTCTGTTTATTAAAAATTCTTTTAATTCTCTATTAAATTTGTTTTCGTTGTAGTTAACAAATTTTTTATTTAATTGGAGAAGTTTTTTCATGCATAGTATCCCTGCATAATCAGGGTTTTTTTTCTGATACCTTTAGCCTCGCAATAGGTTGTATTGTATTGTTTTTGTGCCTGGTGTCATAACTGCGGACTTCCTCTCTAGGTAAGTGGGGTTTGGACTTGATATATGTTAATAATGAAGTTCAGTGAGAGTTAGGATTCCTTGTTCTCTATAATATTCCCTGCAAGATGTTCGTTTGCTTAGTCCGAACATAAATCGGAGTGCTTTTTTTGTACTGTAAGAAACTTAGCCACTTCGGTGGAAACTGTATTTTTTAGATTTTTTTAAAGTTGGCTGTGCATTGAAAGTTATTATTTTTAACGGCGTTATTTGTGTTAATAAGTTAGTTGTAAGTTTGTTAACTTTAAATAAAAGTTACTTTAAGTTCACAGTTTATTTTATAATCAGCTTATTTAAATTTTGAGAAAGTGGATTTTGGGTTCGTCTAATATTCTTTAGATATATTTTTAGGTCACAGTACGCTGTCCGGTGCCGGCAGAATCGAAACATCTCTCCTAAAGGTCAAGCCGAAGGCACAGACCTTAAATATAACTCGTTTTCTAACTTGAAGGGAGGAAAACGAGTATTTCAGGTCTTGCCGAGGCTTGACCCGAGTAAGCCCTTGCCGTCATTCGGAGTACGTACTGAAGCATAGAAAATGACTAGCGTCTAGAGGCACCGAATTATCTTGGCTCCCTGGCTCCTAGACATGCGCGTTTTATAGAAATGTACTCAAACTCAACAACACAACCCAACCGACCCCGCTCCATTGGGCCCCCCCGCCCCATTGAGCAAAAAACCCAACTAAAATGGCCAAATTTATGTAATTAAAAAGTGTTTTATTTTTATCGTAACATAAATTTGCCCATTTTAGTTGGGTTTTTTGCTCAATGGGGCGGGGGGGGCCCAATGGGGCCGGGTCGGTTGGGTTGTGTTGTTGAGTTTGAGTACATTTCTATAAAACGCGCATGTCTAGGAGCCAGGGAGCCAAGATAATTCGGTGCCTCTAGACGCTAGTTAGAAAATGTTAAGGCATTCGCCTAGCCGGCACTGACGCGTCATGACGGTTGGAGCGGGGATAGGCACGAGTCTCCCCACTCCTGTGATTAAGGGCCTATGCACATGAAAGATATCAGCAGGTAATCTCCGAAAGGTCAAGCCTCGGCAAGACCTGAAATACTCGTTTTCCCCCCTTCGGGGTAAAAAACGGGTTATAAATTAAAGGAATAGGCATTGCCTCTGGTGCAACATTGGCACGCACAAATTTAGGTATTTTTAAGAAGATGCTCACAATGTGTTTTAGGCAATAATGGCACTGAGTCACTTAATTATGATAAATAAGCACATACATACACATATACAAATCATTTTAGACTGATACTGTTTCATTTTCGCGGAGTTAAAGTAGGGGAAGTAAAATTACAAGTATGATTGCATTGCTTGGTGGAATTGCCGGTTTAAAAAAATACCACGTTTTTGTCGCTTTTTGGAAAATATAATAAATATTTTTTAATAAATTGTATATACATTTAATGAAAACAATTATTTAACAATAATAAATACACAAATTAATGATATTTTAGATTTTATAATGGCATGTTTATAACAGCAAGTTTTTGGCTACGTCGTATTTCTACAACGATAGCTATTTAATCATGTAAATTTTTATTGTGTAAAGCCAAACCACATAAATTTATGCCAGCTTAACTTAGGCGATATACGTGTGATTTTGAAAAAATTTAATATAACCTAAATTTAATTTAGTTGACAATTCCTATCACACAAGGACGTATTAATATGTCTATACTATCATATATTTTAACTGACTATGCGTATAAGGTAGATCATACTCTAAATCGAAAAAGGAAACAAGGTCATCCATACAAAATATAGCGAATAAGCAGTAAATGTGTGGAAGTATATGTAAATAACACGTGGTTCTGTTTCTTCTTTCACATTTTTTATGTTAAAGAATACTTGAATTTCCTTTTATTGAATTTACAATTTTATTATGGCGGTTATTTTGCGTATGAAGATACAACTTACATAACCCCATCGATCTTTTAAAGAGTTCATCAATTTAATGTCACCAGAAATGTCACAATCAGAAAATATATGTTTAAATTTCATTAGTAACCCTATAGCACACTAGTTAGTATACTAACTAGCGTAACTATGTAGTTCTAGTCATTTCATTGGTTCTAATATTAATGATATTGTTAGCATAATATTTATGTACTATGCTCCACACTTCAAAGTCCCACCACGTGACCAGGTACGGAACGCAGTCTTTTGAAAATTTGGCATTTAAGGCTTTTCAGGTTATGTATCTGTCAAAGTATAGTCAATGAAAGAAATAATATTTATAGTAAATTTAAAAGTAAACTACGTACACGTCATCAATCAGCTGATCGGGCACGGTTGTCAATGTGATGCTAAAATCCTTGCATCAAGGGAAAGTGGTAGTGCAACTACAGGGCGATAGATGGCGTTTACATGAATAATATCAAAATGTCAAAAGTCTGAGTTTTTATAACCTATATGATGCACCGCCAAAAGTATGTTTTTAGCCATTTTTAAAGACATTTTTTGATATAAAACCCAAAAATTTTGTCATCTTAAGTCAGTCTCTGGTATATATATTATTATTTCATGTATCCAACATATATTTTGTTAAATATTCTAATATATAATTAATAATAATCCTATTTACCTCTCTAACAGCTGTTAAAGGTAACAAAGGTCCATTATTATCCTGTTCTGCCTCAAAATAGAGTATTAAGGATGACACCAACTCTTGACTCTGACTATTTAAATGCTTCGGCATTTTAAATATAGGAAACACAAAAAAACGATATATAACAAACACAAAAACGGCAATGAAAACTTAAACGATATAAAATAACACAAACAACAAACAAAATAAACGAAATAATACACGAATTAAACGAAATATTCAAAAACACAACTGACAGCTTCGAAATTCTAAAACGTCAAATTCTTTTTTATGTGTCATTTAAATATGAAAAATTTGAATGTAAGCATGACAACATCACAATTCTTGCCAACTTAATTTGGTTAAAATGCATTCAAATATTCAATTACAGACTTCGATTTAGTCATTTAGTGTTGGTACCAATGCGTAAAATTTTTGTTTTATTGATGACGTGTACGTAGTTTACTTTTAAATTTACTATATACTGTTACCGTTTATGTTTAAGCGTTAAAAGTTCATAAATCTTTATAGTATCACAGTAACAATGGTTGGTTTAAGAGTTTAGGAGTATAAATACTGCATTTAATGAAATTCTAAAGTGTATAGTGCCAAATAAGTAAAATTTTTGTGCATTTGGTATACATAATATGTTAATATATTATATCTGGTTTTATCCATAAAATGTAGTTTTAACTAAACGGCATTTATTAAAAAAATCTAGCTTCTCTATTATGGAATAAGAATATCAGTATCAAAGGTAGGTTAATATATTATAACAAAAAATATCATCTAATTATAAAATTTTAAGGTTAGAAAAATCTATTTTGATCAAAATAAATAAGTATTTTGGATTATTTGGAAGAGTGTGTTAATATGATCATATAAATATAGATATACTAAATAATTGTTGAATATGGTTCAAATTAAATTAAAGCTTTTATACTCCTAACAACAAAACTTGTGCATACCTCTCGGGATCCCTACTTTAAGTTAGATTATAAGGAAACAAACAATTTTTAGAGATACATGCAATGTAAAAATATTTAATACTCCCATAAGATGTGATTTTTTAAATTTCCGTACGTGGTCACGTGGTGGGACTTTGAAGTGTGGAGCATAGTACGTACAGCTTAACAAAAAAAATATCAAAAATGTCATACAATATTTGAGTTGTATTTGAATTTCCTTTTATTGAATTTGCAATTTTAGTATGGCGGTTATTTTGCATATGAAGATACAACTTACATAACCCCATCGATCTTTTAAAGAGTTCATCATTTTAATGTCACCAGAAATGTCACAATCAGCAAATATATGTTTAAATCTCATTAGTAACCCAATAGCACACTAGTTAGTATACTAACTAGGGTTACTATGTAGTTCTAGTCATTTCATTGGTTCTAATATTAATGATATTTTTAGCATAATATTTATGTACGTACAGCCTAACAAAAAGAAATCAAAAATGTCATACAATATTTGAGTTGTATTAATTTTAATAAGTTAAACGCAAAAAAATTAAAATAAACCTGTTTATATTTCCCTTCAACATGTATTTAATATAACATAAAAAAAATAAAAATAGGACTTACCAACAATATCTAAATATCCGACTTGACTTTTCATTGGATCAGTGTTGATTTGACACATGTACCATCCCCTATCATTCTCGCGTACCTCCTTAATGTGTAGATACCATGTTTTGTGCTCGCTGTGTGTGACACCTATCCGATGGTTTTTCGTGATCACGTGATTGTGTATAGTTAGGATTGTTTGTGTGTCCACCCTCAGCCAGGCGACCTGAAAGCGAGAGACAATTAAATCTGTTTTTTGTTCCAATTACAATGTTCGAGACTCCGGGAGTCCGTTAATTGTATTGTAAACCTTGTTAATTTGGATTGTATTTTCTTACGGACTTTTTTGTCTGTAAACAAATTATAATCTTCTGTTTGGGGTTGCTCTACGATTACAGTCTCGGTTTAATCATTCGTTAAGTAATTTTTAAGTGCAAAATGGTCAATAATAAAAGCCTACATAAGCATTAAGGTAGGTATATATGCGCCTTATAAAAACAATGCGTATTATGTTTCTAACCTTTTAATGAAATTCATGAAAGTTTTGCCGCTTTTATTGTTGCTATTAAAGTTTTATGTGTTGAACTTTTCTGTAGCATTTTTCTTTATCATTTTGTCGAAACATAAAGCGATATGATTATAGTTTTATATTTTGATGGCTTACAAGGAATACGTAATTTTATTACGGAACGCGATGTCCTTTATATGCCAAAGTCTGCGAACTTACCCTAATGAATCAGGCAAACTTAAATGTCGAGGAAAATGTTAAGATTTAGCGGTTATATGGTCTAAAACCAGTTAACTTTTACTTAAATTAAAACTTACAATTTTCTTAATTTTCAAACATATCATTAGACAAATTGGTATATTTATATTATTATTGAAGCAATTAAAATAAACTTTTTTGTATTTAAAAAAGGATATAGGTATTTGTATGGCTAAAGGACGTAAGTCAATTGCCCTTTGATGCTTCAATAAAGAACATTTATTATTATTATTATTATTATTGTTATTATTATTATTATTAAATATTTGTATGCAGAAATGACAACATAAAGCTATTGATATTAATTAAACTTAACTTCTCAATTTAAATAAACGTACTAAAAATTAGAATTTATTATATTGAAACACAATTAATTGTGTTCTAAATGATATTTAGACATACATACATATACAAATATAATATAAATTTTGAAACGAATGTCAAACGATGCTGTCAATTTCTTTTCACACAGACCTGTCACTTTTCACCCAGAAATGTCACTTTACATTCGTGTTTTGACTTGCCAATAAAAAGAATAATTTTCTAAGCAACGATGCTAATACGAAATGTGACTTTTAAACATTGGTCGTAAAAAATAATTTTAACTCATCCGTCACCATTGGCGGATTTAGGCATGGGCATTATGGGCTTCAGCCCAGAGCCCCGTCCGATCGGGGGCCCCCTACGCGATTAATAAAAAGAATATAAATTAGAATGAATAAAAAAATCTATTTAATAGTTGTATAAAGGTTAAATATTGAGCCTTTTAAAATTTCAGCTCTTAATATTATTATTAAGAGGCCCCTCATCGAGACTTTCTATTTTTCATTTAAATAACATACAAAAATAACTTTGGAATTATATATCTTTTAAAGGGCTTTATGTACTTAAATAAAAACAACATATTTTAAAAATAATATTTTTATAGATTATTTAAAGTAAACGCTCTACAAAAGGTCTACTATTATTTTAAAATAAATTTACTTGTTCAAAAGTTATTCAAGCTCAAAATTACATTTATAGTAAATTTCAAGTTTTTCTTACTTCTTACTTTCGCTAAAACTATCAGAATTATTATAACAAAACGATATAGGACTGTGGTATATCATTTTTTTTTTAAATTTGTGAAATTTTATAATTTTTTATACTTATAGTTTTGCAGTTACTGATTTGACAAATTTCTGTTTAAAATACTAATTAATTTCAAGAAAATATTAATTTTATCACAAAAAATATTTGTATTTATACTGGTTAAACCTGTAAATCATAAATAAAACATTAAAAAAAATAATGACATTTTTATGGAAAATAAAATGATCTAGAAAAATGTATGATCATTGTAAAAATTTAATCCTGATGGTTTTACCGGGAAAGTAAGAAAAACTTATAATTTGCCATGAATTTGTCTTAAGTCTTAAATAACTTTTTAACGAATAGATTTATCATAAAATAATAAGTAAACTTGATTGTGGAGCGTTTAATTAATAATAAATAAAAGTTCTAACCATTTAAGTCCATTAATCCGTTAACGAGCTATATAATTCCAAAAGAAAAAAATCTAATGTACCTATAGGTATACTTAATTAAAATGTAAAACTCCGATAAGCAACCAATAATATTAATGGGTGATATTTTAACAGGCTTATGCGGCTATTAAATTTCATGGAAAAAAATAGTCGATTTTTGTTAATCATTGTAACATACTGCAGTATAAAAAAATATTTTTTACATATTTTAAAGGTCGCTAGGAGCCAAAAAATATGTATGTGGACTTTCATTGTACAGGTCTTATCGGGACACCCGAGCTAGAATATTTTATTTACATTATTTATTTTATTCTTTTATTTTAGTAAGAATTTTTTCTTGTTTTTTATTTTTGACGAAGAATTTGTTTTATATTTGTTATATATACATATATAATTACGGCCCCTAAAGAGCTTTAGCCCAGGGCCCCCAGTCAGCGGTCCGCCCCTGTCCGTCACTACACATCTGTTTTTGACGCCTAACGTTATTTTAAGATAATTTATTTTCAAATCTTTTTATATTTTTTTAATAAGATTGTAAAACGGAAATATTACGTTCGTTGTTGTGTTTTTATTTAATAAAAATAACGGAAAGAAAGAAAAGTCAAACAAAAAAATATTAAAACTAGAACTAAAAGGACCTGCCTTTTTAAAACTATTTAAAACTTATATATATATATATATATATATATATATAAATATAAAAGAACACACTGTATAACACATTTTTTAATGCAAAAAATAATGTTTTTTTACTATTTATCGTATTTCTGGGTACCCGTTAAACGGTGCAATTTAGTATTTCTTGTGTTATTTACCCAATAATCATCAAGTTTTTATAAAAATACTTTTACTATTATGGAAAGGCACCATCTAAGTGACGAACAAAAATTAAGAGCAATTGGGATGTTACAAGGTGGTTCATCACAACGTGAAGTGGCTCGTCAAATGGGCACATCTGTGAGTGTTATAAGCAGATTGTGGAGACGTTACAATGAGTATAATGACATAAGGGAAAGACATCCAGGCCGCAGTAGGATAACTACCCCGGTACAAGACCGCTTTTTGCTTTTGCAAGCTCGGAGACACCCGGAAATAACAGCTCCCGAGCTAAGACAAGAGCTTCTTAGGACCCACGATTTGATTGTGTCAGCTCAAACCGTCAGAAACCGTGTCCGAGAGCAAGGTCTATTTCAGAGAAGACCTTTAAGGGTACCCCGATTGCTTCCTGGAAATTGCGCTGCTCGTTTAGCTTGGGCACAAGAACATCTTAATTGGGGTCCTGATGATTGGAGCCGTATTCTCTTTTCTGATGAGTCAAGATTTTGCTACCACCCAGATTCTGGAAGGATACGTATCTGGAGAGAACCTGGAAACCAAGCACGGCTACAACATGCTCGTGAGGTGGTTAATTTTGGAGGAGGTTCATTAATGTTTTGGGGAGGAATTAATACTGGGGGAAGAACCGAGCTCTTTTTAATGGAAAAAACTTTGAATGCAGTTCGATATCACGACAACATAGTTTTACCTATTATGTTACCCTATTTAACCAATATGGGCCCAAATTCCATTTTCCAGCAGGATAACGCTAGGCCACATACTGCGAGGATCGTTCGAGCAGCATTCGAAGAGAATGATATAAGCGTTTTACCTTGGCCAGCAAACTCCCCAGACCTTAATCCAATAGAAAAAGTATGGGATACTATGAAAAGAAGACTTTTGAATCGCCAAAACCATTATGGAGACTAGCAGCAGCTAATTTTGGCGGTACAGGAGGTGTGGCGAAATCTGGACCAAAACCTACTCGATAGGCTTATATTGAGTATGCCAAATCGATGTAGTGCGGTCGTAAACAACCGAGGGGTCCGTCCGGATATTAGTTTTTAATAAAAAAAAATAAATGTAGCATAATTATTATAAATAACATAATAATAAATATTTGGATATTTGGTGGGTGTTATTATTTTAAGTTTTGAAGGGGTTGTAACATCATTTTACAATATATTTTTTATTTAATTAGTTAAAAACACTTGTTTTTATTAATTTATTATATTTTCACATACGTTTTTTTGGTTTTACTGCAATAATTGAAAAATATTTAGGTGTTCCCTAGACACTTTGACTGTGTATATTAGGGTGGCCCAAAAAAAAAGAATATTTTTTTTCTTCTCGTCTCTTGTGAAAATATGTTGGTTTGTCATGTTTTAAGAGCCCTGTCAAAAGATCAGCACCATTAAAATTTTTTTAGGGGTCGCTCAAGATTTTTAAAAATTACCAAAATCGTCAAAAATTGGATTTTTTTTTATTTTAATTTTTTTTTTCGTTGCGTTATTATTTTTTAATTTAAAAATAATAATGATTCTGAAATTTTCAAATCGATATTTTAATTTCTAAAGGTCGCTCAAGATTTTTTTAACTTTCAAAGTAGAGTATTTTGAATGTTTTCGAGCGACCTCTGAATATAAATATCAACGAACTTTTAACCACCTTTAGAAATCAAAATATTGATTTGAAATTTACAGAATTTTTATTATTTTCAACCTAAAAAATAATATCGAGACGAGAAAAAGAATTAAAATAAAACAAAAATTCAATTTTTGACGATTTTGAAATTTTTTAGAAATCTTGAGCGACCCCTACAAAATTTTTAATCGAGCTGATATTTTGAAAGAGCTCTTAAAACATGACAAACCAACATATTTTCACAAGAGACGAGAAGAAAAAAAATATTCTTTTTTTTTGGGCCACCCTAGTGTATATATATATATATATATCCGATGCGTAGTTTTCGAAATATTTCAATGTCTTCAGATAAATTGGCCACCCTGTATATATATACAGCTAACTGTTAAAGTTACAATTAAACAAAATTTATTTTAACGTTAGAAAAAGTAACAAAACCAAACGATAATTGCAAAATTAAAAAAAAAAATAAAA